CTAGATGGTTTCGGGAATCTGTCGTGGTTCAAGGACCAGGACAACACCGCAGCTCTAACCGTTATAGACGGAGGGCGGTTTTGGCGTTGCTATGAGCCAGAATACGTGATTCAGGCTATTGTGCACAGCGCCTGGCGCACTCCAAGTCTTCAGCTGGTGCGGCGGTGGGCAGCAGACAGCTTGTGCTGAGGGGCTGCCGAGACGCGATAACGCCAGCGTCATTTTGGGCTGTGCGATGCACTCAGCTGCTGACACTTAAGGCGTCGCCTGCCTCTCAGCGCGGCAGACAGTGCGGACACAGCGGAGACCAAACACCACGCCGACAGAAAGACACCACGCAGACAGTGTGCCAGAAACATCACGCCGCTGGATTTCCAGACGCGCAATTTATCCCTCGACTACCGGAACTCCAACGGGACGGCGTCAGAAGCGCATGCATGATTTGTAGATGTGGGAGCGGACTCATAACTAATGAGAGGACATATAGCCCTTTGACGCCACTGAATGCTGCGACGGTCCGTGAGGCTTTTAAACTGGAAGATGATCAAAGGTGGTATTTGAACAGGTCTGATTCGGGCCCCTTCAACGCTACGATAACCTATTGGTAGCCTGCGCTGCCAGAGCCGTGGCAAGGGGAGGGGGTAGGTGGGGGTTGGAAACTCTAGCCCTACATAGAACCCTGTAGTGGCCCTCCCCCAAAAACCAATCACCACATATGGCCCATTTGTAACCCTCGCCCGGCCGGAGGGTGGGGGGTTACTTCTTTCTATGGTTTTACGAGTACAGGTCAAAAACGAACGCTCGCAGCCTTACAAAATTTGCAGTACCTGTACATTTATCAATCTGACATCCTTTGTGGGAATTTGAAGCTCTGAGCTACCAAGATCAGGTGACTTGGGTAAGGTCAAAGAGACTAACATTTTAAAAAATTAACCACTCATGACGTGTTTATCTGAGTCCTTTGCCGTGTTCAAACTTTGTATAGTCATAGAACATGGTAGTACGTACAGTGTTCATATTTCAGATTTTTCTGAAGATGCCAGAGCATTGACCTGATATCGAGTTCATTGTTGCTATTTTTCCTAAATAATGCAAGTCTGTACGTATTTTTGTGTAGCTTTGGTGTTGTATGTGAGGAAAAGAGTACTAACTTACGTATGCAACCATCAAAGATGCACGAAATGCATGGCCTTGCCCCAGGTCATTACCTATCTCTATGGGTACCTTTTGTAAAAACATGATAAGCTCAAAATAGGCCGTTTCTAGGCTATTTTGAGCACAAAATTTAGATATTCTACTGAAAACATGTTGAAACATAATCACAATGCATTCTGGGGTCACAACAGGTCATCCAATGTGATATGAGGTTATCCAAGGTCAGTGACAAATGTTGCCAGTAGCAGAGAGGTTAGATGAAGTGCGAACCGTGCAATCACCTTTGTATTGTGTTTGTAAAGCTGATGACGCATAATTTCATTTACCAACGTACCTGTTCTCAGTTAATTACAAATGCATCGTCATGCGTCGAAGGGACTGTGTATAACGTAGAGAACAGCTATGGGATCTTAAGTAGCTGTAAATGTCCAATACACTATTTCTGGCATAAAAAACATTGTGTTGGTCACATACAGCCGGTGGGCACCTAAATTTTTTTCAATTGGATACTATGAAACATGAACTAAGCCGACCTCATATGACCTCTAGGCTAGCTTAAAATTGAATTTTTGTGTCTGGAATGCTTTTGTCCCACAGCCCCACCTAAAAAGTGACCTTAGATGCATATTGTGAACAAAAATATCGCTCTTGTAGGGCACTGGTGGACTAATTTTGACGGGAGACTTAATCCGTCATGACTCATGTGGGAGGAAATAAATGGTCGAAATGAGTTCTCACAGTCTTTTTGCTTATTTCCGTGATCTCAATAAACATCTTGATGTGTTAACATAGGTTTTAATTGCATCCATTGGACCGACCGTTTTTTACCTTTCGTGCCCTCTGGTAACCTCATGTTTGACCTGATATAAAACATTTAGATGTGTGTTCTTCATGATTTAGCGAGACCCTTGCAACGGTACCCTCGTTTTTCTCATACGGTGTCTGGTAGTTTGAGATACCAGGGGAAGTCAGCTTCCCCCTTCCCCCCCCCCCCCCCGGGCGCGGTAGTCCTAGACCCCTGGCCGGGCGCGGGTTAGTGGGAGCATGGTTTTCTTCGATATTCTTTTATTTTTTGTCTATAGCTGAAACTGAAGCCAGAAGCTACTGTGAAATAAATTTTGACTGAATTTTATCGTCAATAACCTGGAAAACCATGCGTCAAACGATTGAACAAAGTAAGACGCCGGCGCCCTCCGTTTTATAATGGTCCATTAGATCCTTTCTAAGCTGATAGAACTTAGAACCTTTTTCTTAATTTTCATTTGGGTCCTACAGTGGTATTAAGGGCCTCGTAAATGCAAACTGTGGATCAAAATGGGTCAACAATTTGCATTAACTTGACCATGCCATTTTTCCTGGAAACCTTTAATATTCAGTCAACATCGTTTAGCGGCACGAATTATGTACGTGGTTTCGAACACGCGCGTTCGTAAATCTTGTAACAAAAACCTCCACTCAGGCGTCGCAGTCTCCGTAGGCCGCACAGTGTCGGTTTCGTGGCTGACATTTGGCCGTGGCCGACGGGTGGACGAGTATGATGACGCATCTGAACGCAAAACCTTTGGATGTTCTGGGCGCATGTTTACCCGGTGCGACTTTTAGACTGATGTTGAGAACGGATTGGCATTTATAGCACCGCGGAGTGGTGCTGGCTGCAATCTGGTGGTGGAACTGGGAAGATTTGTGAAGAATCTCTGTTTTTGGCTCGCTGTAATTGTCCATCTGTCAGGAGAACAACCTCGGAAGTTTTAAAAAGCTGCGCACAGTCTTACCTTGGAACGGTGCGAATTCATTTTGAAAGACATTGGGAATCATTACTTCACGACGGTCGTTTTCACGCGGGTGCGTGGTGTTACTTGTAGCGGTCAACGCCATTTCCAGGGGCTCAAGGGCCATTCCGTGCCACCGCAGGGTGTCTCGCGGCTGCCATTTTGGCGACACGGAGCGGGACCTCGTCGCTCCGGAGGGCCTTAGAGGGATAGAATATATCTACATTAGTCCCTTCCTAACGCAGAACGCTCCTTGACATGCGCAGCTTGACTCCGGATAGATGCAGAAACGACAGCAACGACATCCATTATCGCGGCAGGCGGTCCAATAATTGGCGCATAGACTCTATTTCGGCCTAACGGGCCCATGCTGGAATCGGGTTGGGGTCCGCCGTTGGACACGGTGGGCCCTGAGTGGCACGGGACCCTTCCATGGTCTCAATGTGCATAGGCATTCGGGCTCCCCTCCGCGTTCATGTTGAGCAAATGCTCCCCTGACCGACTCAAGGCCCCTTGATGACACAGCTCAGTGCCTCTGTTGGGCACTGAGCCCCTGGCCGATGCAGGAGCCCGTACAGGTTCCGACCGATGCAAATCGCGGGCCCGGCCTCGTCCCTACTTGGAAAATGCGCTCCAGGAGATCAGACCGACACGGAGTCGACTGTTCGGTGTTGGTGATCTATGGCCGAAATAAAACACTCTGTCTCAGGGGTCCGAAATGGGTACAAGGGCCCCTTAACTGATATTTTAGATCATGGTCCTACGGTCGGGGGTACTGAATGTGGCCTACAGACAGAGCCCTTCGGGCCCTTCAGCCTTCCAACCGGGCCATTGATCTTTGACCCTGAGAGGCCCTTTATCCCCTCTTTGGACCTCCTCAAGCAGAGCCTGCGGCCGACTCGGGGCTACTAACTGACACATGACCCCCTTTTAGTCACTGTTAATCCCTGACCGACGTAAGGACCGTAACCATTGTTTCAGGCACCCGGACCAATGCAAGTCGTGGCCCCCGTTCCTGCTCTTGCTTGGGAAATGGGTCCCCAGGGTGTCAGGGATCCAACTGTTCGTTGCTCGTGGCCTCTGGCCGGCTGAGAGAGCAGCATTGTCTTAGGGGATTCTCAAACGGGACAAGAAGACCTCTCACTGATATTTTAGGTCAAGACCCTCCGGGCCACGATTCTTCATGTGGTCTCCAGCCGGTTCTTTGGGTCCTTATGCCCTCCAACCGAGCCTTTAGTCATTGGTTCCGCTGGAACACCCGGGCCTCACTTCAGGCCTCATCGAACATTGCCCTTGGCCGGCTTGGGGCCCATTGTGAATACAGGAACCCCCTGCTGGGCGCTGTGGGACCCCGACGGACGCTGGGGCCCAGAACAATGTAAATCGCAGGCTCCTGCTTTGTCCCTGCATGGGGAATGAACCCTCAGGTCCATGCCGACACGGAGCCGACTGTGCGTAATTGCTCGTGTCTGATCGACATATAGGCCCTTAGCGACACGGGGGCCACTGATCACTCAGGAGCCTCTGGATGGCAATAAAGTGCCCGGCCCTGCGGACCGGGCCCCTGAATGCGACTTCCGGTCGGCATTTCAGGCCCTTAATCGTAGGTCTCGAGGGCCCCTCCGGGCCCCTCGGAACCTAAGGGGGGACTGCCCCTGTGCCCCCTTCCTGCGTTACTGCGAATCAGCTATCCTCCAAATTACGCGAGGAAGCATTTTTCCACTTAAAGATCGACGCGTTACATTCCGCCACGCACTGGTCCGACGGGCCGACGGCAGCCCCACACTCCTGCGTATCTAGTCTTCATCTACTTGTGACAAGCGTGTCAAACGTACCCGGATCCTACAACGGGACGCGAGCTAGAGATCCGGGATGGGGTCCCAATACTGAACTCTACCATGACATGCCCTAGTCGTCCCAAATGTCACAGCGCCACAACACCCGTGCCGGTGCGGTCGCCGTCGACATCGATGACGGAAGTCCAGTCCCTTCCTCATCGGCAGTAGCATTCGTCACCGCCGGCCGGCGCGCTTAAAAGCTGGCCGCCAGCCGGCCAGCAGCAAAAGTGGTGCGCAGCCGCTGGCGGCAGCATGTGGTCCCTGTGGCTGGTGGCAGTTCTTGCGCTTGCGCCGTGGCCGGCCGGGCCGCCGGCGCTGGTGTGCAGCGCCCCGGAGGCGCGGCCGCAGCCGGAGCCCGAGGCCTGGCCCGGCCCCATAGCCTCGCCCGATCCTCGGCCTGTCGCCCCAATTGGGTGCGTGTCGCCGGCAGCGTCACCGGCACTGTCGTGTTGTGTGCGTGTGAGGGGGGTATGATACGGGCATGTACGCAAAATTTGTGCCCACCAAAAATTAGATTGGACTGATCATGCTGTATTAAATCTTACCTAGTCAGTCACCATCCAATGATTCTGTGGAAAACTAGTGGGGAAACCACTGTGGGTGAATGTGGTATTTTGCAAACCTGAAAGTGATGCATAAACCTATCGGCACTGTGTTTGCTTTTGGGGACAGCATGCACGCAATTGCAAACAAAGACAAGACATGAAGAGTCAGCGTCCTGTACATATTATCCTATGATATCAAAAAGTGTAAACATGTTCTTCTTTTTCAGCCCTGCTCTGCGACTCATCTATACGTTGTGCAAAGTTCACAAGAGATGCAACAGGTGGCTGCAGTTCAAGAAATGCATAGCAAAGCAGAAGATAGGTAAATTTTTCCGGAGAGTGTTCAGAAGAAGAAGGCGCTCGAGGCGTATCAGGAGATGCATTAAATAAAGACTTGTCGGCACTAATGAGCAGGCTCGCAGTCCATGCATACGCATCTGGCACGCGCGCACTGTATCACAGAGGCAAAGGGTTTTCAAACAGGCTCCTATTGAAACATGGTTCGCATTCCAGCGCTATAATTGGATCAAAGTATGCACTAAGAAACTGGCTAGCGTTGGCAGTTTGCCAAGCGGGTGAACAATTCAGCACGATGTGTACAAAACTGAAATATAAAATGCAGCATGATATATTATCGCTGACAATGAGTGCGGTGCTGGAAACCGACGGTACTCGACTGTAAAACAACGACCACCACGAACTTCTCCACGTAGCTAAGGGCTACCCATTTGATGTGTGATATCTTTATGATAGCCAAAGGCTATCTGCACTTAGATTACGCCCTTGGCCCTGCTTTTCGGGAACAGATAGGGCACAAACACAAATAAATGTTAGTAATAACGATTCAGTGCAACACGGGGCGTGGGACGAGCGAGACGTTAGCAGACTTCAGAGTTGTCGGTCATCAACATGTCCATCATGCCAAAAAACAAGCTAACGAAACCAGACGCTTTGGCAACCTGAGGTAATAACTGGTTTGGTTGTTGTGCGTGTCGACTTTTTGTGAAAAACAGGTAAAGGTTCACTAATGTAATATTTGCAGCAGTCCACACATGACATCGTTTGGCATCGGCCGGCTATTGCCCTGGCAAGAATAGCAATTTTAGTGTATACCAACGATAAATTTCCACTCACTTAAAGATTTCGGAAAAAGTTGACACGGACTTGTTTTCGGTAGATTGCTGGCGCGCCCGTGGGTCGAAATTTTGGAATCTGCCCGCGAATTGCAGCTGGTATATTCGCCTACGTCGTGCAGTTGGCTCCGTGCCTTCATTTGCGCTGGTAGCTGGGATGTGCCACCGAAACCTTAAACATTGAAGTGCCCCGTACTTTTTATACTTCTTGCTGTTACATGAGACACGTACGAGTTGATCAGCAATGCCAGTTTCTTTTCGAAATCCTTCTGAATAGCCCAGAATTTCGAAAAAGTAGCCGCCTCTGTCGGCGAGATTGATTGGACTCCGTGCACGCCACTATAAAAGTAATGCATCTACTTTGTCTTGCCTTTTCCAGCGCGTGTGTTCTGTAAGGCTTATAACACACTAACTTAGTCAAAAAGTGTGTGCAATAAATGCTACGAAAGCTTGAAACATTCTGCTTAGGCAAAAGGATACTCGACCATAAACATTTTATCCGGCGAATTCAACAGGAGGTTATGCTGTGGTTTTTATTTCTCCCCTATGACGATTGCCACAGTGGCTCTTTCCGAGGCGCACAGCGCCTGTGGGAACTGGATCATGACATGGTCCATAGGGACGCACTGGTTTAAACCTAAACCAATCCGTTTTTCGGTAACAGACCCTTGCTTCCGCTGGGCTAAAGGCAAACGTTCTTTCATTCGCACCAGCAAAGATGACTGATGGCGGCGGTTGTCATGACGACGGTGATCTCGACTGTAGGGAGGAAGCGCACTGGTTGGACAAAGCGTTTCCAACGTAATTCGAACTCGAAAATAATGAACATCGACATCCATATTATGTCTTGACCGCTCTTCATTGGCACTACCCAGTGCTGTTATTAGACGTAACCAGTCCTGCCGTTTCTCTGGAGTGTGTTTTGAAATATGCCCCAAAGGTGGGACACTCCGTTAAATAAATGGATCAAAACATTGCCTAGTCTCGTTGCCAGCCTCGCATTCGCCTCACCTCACCTCGACATCAGTGACGTCCACGCCCCCCCCCCCCCCCCCCCGCTTCCCTCCGGCCATGCCCCCGCCGCCGCCGCAGGTGGATGCTGCTCCCCTCTGGAGGTCCACTCACCGTAATCGGAGCCAATTGGCGGCCAGTGACGTCAGCTGGCGGGCCGGGTGGTCTCGGGACCGGACGCTGTGACCTGGCCACCGGCGCCCTGCCCGAGCCGCGGCCACACCAGCCAGCAGACACCGCCGGCACGCTGTCCCGAGCCGCGGCCGCATCAGCCAGCAGACACGGCAGGCGCGCTGTCTCGAGCCGCGGCAGCATAAGCCAGCAGACACGGCCGACGCGCTGTCCCGAGCCGCGGCCACATCAGCCAGCAGACACCGCCGGCACGCTATCTCGAGTCGCGGCCGCATCAGCCAGCAGACGCGGCCAGTGCGCTGTCCCGGGCCGCGGCCGCATCAGCCAGCAGACCCGGCCAGCGCGCTGTCCCGGGCCGCGGCCACATCAGCCAGCAGACACCGCCGGCGCGCTGTCTCGAGCCGCGGCCGCATCAGCCAGCAGACGCGGGATATCAGTCGATAGGAGACTGGCACACGGGGAGGCGTGGGGCGGCGGACGGCGGCGGCCAAACCTTGGTTGTGTTGATAACGAAAATAGGATGGCCTCCGCGCGCAGTCCGAAAATAAGGCGTGATGCGGTAACATCTAGGCACCAGATCGGCGGCCGACAGCTCGTTCAAAATATCAAGGCTGACATCACCGCAGCGGCATGACAAAAATATCCTTGTCGGCAGCTATCCCGTGCCAGTGGTGCAGACGACCCGTCTGGGTGAGCGGCCACGCGCATCGACGGCAGGACGGATGTCAAACAAACATCGCTCGCACTCCTCGACGTGTTTCACACACTCATCGCGCCACATGCAGGACGCGCTCCGAACGGCGCGCGCGCGTGCGCGCGTCCCGCCACGGCCGCGGGGGCTCGCCGGTCTCGCGCGTCCGTCGCCCGGCCGCGCTGGCAGCGGACCGCGCGGGACCCCGGCTGCGAGCCCTCCCCGGCTGTCGCGGCGGCAGCGGCAGTCTGCAGCGCATGACCTCAGCGTAATGCAGCGTCCCCGGCTGAACGGCCGGCCCGCGGCGCTCCGCCACATCCGCGTCACGCCTATCAATTACCAGCTAGGACGCGGGCATAGGAGCGAGCTCGCCGATCCTCCTGCGGCGGGCCTAATATGGCCCCGGCCGGACAGGGGCTGTCGGCGCCGCCTCGGGGCCTTCGCCGGCCCCTCCTTATCCAGCGGGACGCGGGGTGCGCCCGAGCAGGTCTGTCTCCAAGGCGCACGGGCAGGCGGGCGGCGATTCACGTGCAGACGCCGCGGTCCAACGACTTCATTAAGGAATCATCAGACGGGCGCGTAATATGCAGCTGTTCTGCTGGTCAATCACTACAAAGAGCGCCGGAGATGAGCGTGGCGAAGGGTGATGCCACTCGCCTCAGAAGCTATGGGTACAAACATCGATGAATCACCCAGCGAATGGCCCCGAATTTTGTTTGTAGTACGAGCAAAGGCACGGGGGCCACGGCACGCGGGGGCAGCTCTCGTTTACCCTCAGGGTGAAGCGTGCCAATACGCCGCATTTAACCTTTGTCTCAATGCGCAGTACTTGTCTCAATGCGCGCAGTACTTCTGCGTCAGCGCATGGAAAGCAAGCACTCCAAGAGGATTAATGATTTTGGAGCAAACCGAAAATGATTTTGGAGCTGCATACCAGTGGCGTCTCGGCGCCTGTACGACGCGTTTCAGCGCGTCTGCACCCAAGCCCGCTGAGACGACGAAGGGCGTGTGTCCAGATGTGTTGACCGACTTAGGTCAACAGATCTGGATTTAGGGTGTAGAAAGCCTTATTGAAGCTTTTTGTGGCCGAGCACCAGAAGTCAAGCGCACGTTCGAATCTACTGATAATATGTCGTCCCATACGAGCGTTTGGTTTTGGGCATGCTGCCATGCCGCGGGCAAGCAACGCGAGTTAGCACAGGTTGGGTGTCATTGTCATTGTCATCACAACATGGGTGTGTCATTGGGGCTTTACGACGCACTTAGCTGCTGAGGCTATATGGCGTCGCCTGCCTCCCACCCTGGCAGGAAGGGCGGGTACCGCGGGGAATCGAACCCCGTACCGCTGAACAGAATAGAAGAATAGAACACAAGCAAGAATATCTTCTATATCATGCTTAGTTAACAAACAACGCTCCAATAACCCACATGGAGGAGGACAAGTGGTTTGGGTGTCATATTAAAATGCTCCAATTCAACAAAAACGTCGTTTTGGACGCTCGCAATGAGCTGAAAGCGTGGAGTGCTGTAGCGGCACGAGGTCAAAACCTAGTCGTGCGGGTCACTAATAGGTGGCGCCAACGAGTGTTGTTGTGTGTGCGGCATTGTGCGTCGGATGAGAACTGTGTGCGTCCCCGCAGCTTCGCTGCTCTGTTAATGTTAGGTAAGGATATTAGTGATATGCCTACCACAGAACGGTTGACAGTATGACCATTGTTTGGCCACTATTGGCATATTGACTGTCGGAACTGGGCGGAGGTTTGCTACTGTCAAGTGTGGTAGTCGAACCGAGCCATATCGCTACCATACTATTTGCGCAACCTGACAGCGCGGTGTTTGTTGCTCTCCGTGATCCGTCCTTCTCTGGACGCGGTTCCCCGTCCATCAGCCCGGGGCCGGCATCACCTCGATGCCGGCGCCGAAGTTTCAAAACGAACCGGCACGACCAACGCAGAAGTGGTAGTTCCGGCCACTCGGCCGCGACCAGCCGGTTAACAGCCCAAGTCCTGAGATACGGGTGGTTACGGTTGTGTCGCACCGCATGGGGGCTGAGGTTGTTAACTGAAGAAAATAAAGGGCAAGTACTGCCACATTTTCTCTTTCGTCGCCGAAGACAGTGACGTGCGCGAGGGCGCGAGGGCATTTCGAGCTTCAGAGGGCTCCAGCTGATTATCAAATTGTTGGACGAATGGTGTATCAAAAGAGGCGAGGTGAATGCTCAAGTCCGATCGAAAATGATTAAACCTTGATGAAACCAGTTGCAGACAAATCCTTGACGCGGTACTTTTACCTTCCTGTGGGTAATGTGACGTAGAACTTTGGGTGTCGCGTTGGCCTCCCGTTTCTAACCATGTAATTGGATTGCAATTGGAGAAAGCCTTCACACGTTAAAGGTGTTTATATGAACAGAGAGAGAGAGAGAGAGAGAGAGAGAGAGAGAGAGAGAGAGAGAGAGAGAGAGAGAGAGAGAGAGAGAGAGAGAGAGAGAGAGAGAGAGAGAGAGAGAGAGAGAGAGAGAGAGAGAGAGAGAGAAAGAGAGAGAGAGAGAGAGAGAGAGAGAGAGAGAGAGAGAGAGAGAGAGAGAGAGAGAGAGAGAGAGAGAGAGAGAGAGAGAGAGAGAGAGAGAGAAGAGAGAGAGAGAGAGAGAGAGAGAGAGAGAGGAGAGAGAGAGAGAAAGAGAGAGAGAGAGAGAGAGGAGAGAGAGAGAGAGAGAGAGAGAGAGAGAGAGAGAGAGAGAGAGAGAGAGAGAGAGAGAGAGACTTGAGCTGAGTGTGTGTACTGGGACGCGGGGTGTGGAGCAATGAGGCTCGCACCTCACTTTGTCGTTCGACATTTGATGAATTCTCCTATTGGATCGACTTCCCTAACGAGAATATCTCATCATTATCTTATTTACTAAAGTATAATTCAACAGCGATGCCTGTAGTCACGTGATGTGAATTTTGTAAGTTGACATCTACATAGCGGTGTAAATGACGTTGTTCTCTGCCCACGGTATGATGCTATATCTCTTAACACCCTGAACCGTCTAAAATCGTGCAGCTATAGTTTGCACTATCGGACGACATCACGACGACGATGCGCAGGAAACTGAGACAAAGGTAGAGAGCCCAAATCGCCCAGTTTCTGGATTTGGGTTGGAAATTACACCTTGTACGGGCGATTTCGGGCTCCCTGTTCTGAACCTTCCCTAATTTTGGTGTCTCATTCATACATGGATATCTCATATCGAGATTCTGTCACGCGTTGTTCTGCTTTAAACGAAGCCATGACGGGCCAATCCATCAGTCTGCACATATATCCCATATCAAAACAATGCGGCGAAAATCTTGTATTCATTCCGCCTCCGTTCATGGCTAACAGTAAGCTTAATTAAGAACCGCTCTAACGTAGACTAACTTTCAAAGCACAAAGCACTGAAACAGACCGTCAAAAGCACACAAATGGTATATATATATATATATATATATATATATATATATATATATACATATATATATCTCTCTCTCTCTCTCTCCCTCTCTCTCTCTCTCTCTCTCTCTCTCTCTCTCTCTCTCTCTCTCTCTCTCTCTCTCTCTCTCTCTCTCTCTCTCTCTCTCTCTCTCTCTTCACTTGAGCACGCATTCGTTTGATGCGAAAACCGTTCGGACGCGTTGCTTCACAACTGGAGCGCCAGTTGCATGCGGCAATGCAACTTAGCACAAGGAACCCTTCTATCGAGAAGACGCTACCCGAGGTTGATCTCATATTGTAATTTATCTTAGTGCTACACTGAATATATGCCTAGGGGGAGGCATGACTTAAACCCGACGTGCTCAAGCAATTCAGGCAATGTTTAAAGCATTTTTGCCCTGACAGGCTTTGCCCGTTCTCATCGACTAGAAAATTTCTGTGAATTATGGCCCATTCCCGCCCACTAGTAAATACCGTCTGCGCCGAAGCGTGCAAGGGCTCACATGACCAATCGCACCGCCAGTGGAAACACGTCCGACAGCTGTAGCAGCGCACGAGGCTGCCACATTCCCAGCCAGCTTCTCCTCCGCCGAGCGGTGCGCGCGCGTTCCCATCCACCAGCTCGCGCTGCAGCCGGCGCGTCGTCGGGCGTCAGCGCGCCGCGCGGTCGGGTGACGCCTCGGCCGAGACCCGAGCCGTGTCATCAGCAGCGCCGGCGTCGCTGACCGGCCGGCCCCGGCCCCGGCCCCGGCCGGGCCGCGGGTCGCGCCGGCGGCGCCGGTGGCTCCGCGGCGCGGCCGCGCTGGACGCCAGCCGCCGCCGCCGTCCAGCTCAGTGCGCTCGGCGGGCGCCGGCGGCGGCTGGACGGCTGTGCAGCTGCCAGCGGTGTTCGAACGGCTGCGCAGCTGCTCAGGGCGTCGACCGGACGGCTGCAGAGTCATCGGCAGCGGGCGGTTCAGTGATCGCGCCTCCGCGGAGTGACCGCAGATTGCGGAGCTGAAAGGTGCCTGGTCGGACAGGTGTACTGTCAACAGTGCTGAAGAGACGGACACCTATTGCCAGCATTATTGAATGGACGACTGTATAGCTGCGGACAGGTGCACGCTGTGAGGCTGTCAACAGAATCGGATGCTCGGCTGTGACGCTGTCGTCAGTGCCGACTGCCTTATTCTGCGGCTGTCAACAGCCTTTGACACAGGCAACCCATCAAGTGGCGGCTAACAGCACCGCTGGGTGGACCTCGCGACAGGTGACAGCGAGCACCACCCGTGGCGGTTGGCGCTGCCGGGCCGCCGACTGCTCGCACCCACCCCTGCTCTCCTGGCGTGCTTCGACACCACGGCGAAGCACGGAGGCGAAGCTGCAGCCCGCGGCAGGCGCCGTCCCACCCTGGCCTAACTGAGCTGGCCTGGCCTGACCCGATCTGAGCCGACCCAACCCAGTCTGACCCAGTCTGACCCGATCTGACCTGACCTGACCTGACTTGACTCACCCTGGCCTGACCTGATCGGACCTGGCCCGACTTAACTTAACCTGACCTGAACTGACTCGCTCTAGACTGACCTGACCTAACCTGACCTGACCTGGTCTGACGTGACCTGGCCTGACCAGCCCCGCCGGCACCATGTCGGCTGCGGTGCTGCTGCTGCTGGCCGTCGCCGAGCTGGGCGTCACGCCGTCTCCGGCGGAGGCTCTCATCCGACCGCGCTACGACCTGGCGCGCGGCAACTGGTGGAAGAAGCCGGCACCGCCGGCCCGGCTCGGCGTGTTCGACGTGCCGCGGCCGGCCGCCGACGCCGGCCCGCTGCCGGCCTACAGCTTCGTCACCAACAGCGTCGGCCCCAAGCCGCCGCCCGGCTACCACTTCTCGGCCGGCCCGAAGCCGGCCCGTTTCCCGCCGCAGTCCGCGGCCACGGCGGCGCCGGCGCCGGTGCCGGTGCCGGCAGCGGCGCCGGCGCCCCACGTGCGGCAGTACGTCTGGCGAAGGCCTGATGAGGCGGGAAAGGGAGCCGGTGAGCCGGAGGAGCCCAGGTGAGCTGCAGGCCGTGGGCCTGGTCCGGTGTGTGACCGAAGCGGGTCGGGTCACGCCCTGACCTAACGCTGAGTGAGTGGTCCTGCTGTGGGCGTGTTGCGGCTGTTAGCCGGTTTTTATTATGTTGGTTCACACGCGCATTTTTGATGCAGTCATCTCATATACGCCATTTAGAGAACTGATCAGAGTACCTACTGGGGGTTCCGACCGTCTTAAGCCTGTCCAAATGTACATCTCAACATGCACGTTGATACGTGAGCTCCACTAAACCATGTTTCGATGCGTTTTACTCCAACTGCCGTCCCCTAGCGGCAAGAATGGAAAGAAGCTGAAGCTCACATTTATTCACAAATCCTCACCTCTCCATTCCTCTATGATGCAGTGGAGGTCGCTCAAGCGCATTCGCTGCGCACTAATGCCGTTTTTGGCGCACGATGCCGCTACGCCATCGATAAACCCAGCGGACCTACATGCACTGTGAATGGTCAGCAACCGCCGTTTGAGCTCGAAGAACCCACAAGACGATACAACAGCGCAAATAATTACCAGCAAGGGAACATTGCAGCCAGGTCTCTTTGCCGCAGCATGAGCACCTACACCAACAAAACTACGGCGCAATCGTCGCTTGCGGAATGAGGGCTCGGTCCAGCGTGTTTAGACACTGTTGCGTGAATGCTGTACCGTATCTGACCAGCTTCGAAAAATTCCATAGCAAGAATGCTGAGCGAATTTTACGAGGGAAAGGCTTGAAACGATGGTTGCATGACTCAGGATACATGCCGCAGGTTCTGTTGAGCGCATGCGGCGTACGTAGGCACGCACCTTACCCTGATGGACTCTTGTTTCTCTTGCCTTTGCCGGATGGTAAATGGGGTTCGTGAGCTCGCGCCAAAGAGCTCACGAGCGACAGGGCAACATATCAACACCCGACAGTGCCAGGTTTTTTCTCAGCGACGTCAGGGCAGGGATTGGGAGCTGGAGCACCTCACGCTAACCAGCAACAAATAGCATTGGCGCTAGGAAATCACATGAGGGAACTGAGTCTGAGCCCGACATAAGCCCATCCCAATTCTACCGAGGCTCCGCCGTCATCGAGCGACGGCGGGATTCAGCGCTTGCCTGAAGTGTGCAGCCCTCCGCAGAGTCGGTAGTGACTGAAGGGGGGGGGGGGGAGGGGTGGAGTCAGGGTCAAGCAAAGAAAATGTCAGGTCGCTACAATTTGGACCTCATTTTTTAAACATCAGGTCAGAAGCTCGTTGAAATTGCATTACAAACTGTTGGTATATTTACGCCGGTTCCCACCCGGTACACACTTCCTCTCGTAGTGTTCGTGAGTTGTCCGTTGCCGAACAGGACGGCGACGCTGAAGCAGATCCACACCGGGCACGAGGCTGGTCAGGTCTTTAAGACATGTAGCTCTCATGACAAACGTATCTGCAGCCCTGGCAGCATGGCGCTGAGTGCACCGCACTCGAGTATCCCCCGCCCATGGCTCTTCGGAACGACCAACTATCCGGCAGAGGGGCGATGGCTTGCGTCTGTTAATACGCTCCGTTATGGTTTGTTTTTGTGCAGAATGTGCTTTAATCATGTCAGATATACAGACACCTTGTAACCCAGCAGTTGAAACGTCTAAGGATTGCTATCAATGTGGTCTCTAGTAAGCGGGAGTTGATTGGATGCGAGCGGATTTTGAACGTTTCGTTTGAACGTTGCTTCAGACGCAGACATAGGCGACGTACCTCGTTTACCGACGTACCTCGTACGATGGTAAGGGCAAGCGAACTAAGTCGCTTGTGTTGATCCTTTCGACATTTGACTCAGTGTCGTATTACATCACATCACAACGAAAATATGGTTGTGCAAGATAGGTAAGTGGCTCAAACGTATCACATTTTTATCATGAATAATGCTAAGTTTTTATCTTATCGAGAATATTGAATGAACGTTGCAGGCCACGCAGAAACCTAGGGTGATCAAAATTACCTACGATGTTAAAAAAGAAATCACGTGACATGGAAATCGACACATTTCGGTATCTACCGCCGTGTAATACGGCATGGTAAGTCCTGAGCATTCTGTGATTCTTTCACGTGATTGCCATTGCATACAGAATTCTAGCGAAGGGCGCGAACGAACTGCTTAATAACGTATTTTGATTTTTCGTCCCCAACCAATTAGCCGCATATCGGTATCCACCGTGGTGTAGTACGCATGGCAACTCCTGAGTGCTCTGTGGTGCGCTCGTGTGATTGTCATTACGTTATATGGTAAACAAAGTATGTAGCAATGGGGCTCAGAGCTTTGTGTTGCAACGTATTCTCCTTACCCAGGCATGGCGATGTCATGACATGAATTATTTCAGTTACCAAGGTGCTCCAAAGGCGGTGCACGAGGTGCTCAAACCACTTCATTCGCTCTAGGCTGGGAATTGGCAATGGCACTGCATGCGTATACACTACCTACATCACTTCTGGATGACACCACAACTTACACACGCGCGTTATCCCGAGCCTCAAAGTCAACACAACCACCGTTTTTGCCAAGAAAATGGCTGCCATTAATAGTTCCGACATTAAGTGCCAGATACCCCCTGCTACACTATGACTTATTTGGAGTTAGTCACCAGACCACAGTGAGTGACTTCCCGCCTGTAATACGTGTTTGTTGGAGCACGTACTTGCACCGTTCATATTTATCAGGTCTCATGGCCAACATAAGCTGTCCGTATAGAGTTGCGCACGTCACGAGTAACGGTCATTGTGTCAAGCTGATATCGGGGTCAGAATGGGCTGCAGTACATTTGAACCGCCACAGTCTGTAGCATTTCATCCAGTCGATGTGAAATGCGCGGATTGTAGTGAAGTCGTGGTCCCCGTAGTTTGACCAAAGGTGCACACGTACTTATACAACCTGATGTGTGTTGGTCGCCACAAGTTTGAGAGAAATCAGAATAAAATTGAAATAAAGGAAAGAAGTAAACTTGATGCGTGTTCGGTAAACACGTACTTAACTATAGATTAATGCATGCGCGAATATAAACGGCCACGGTAGGTCACCAGCAGCGCGAGAAATACAAGCGTACAGCTGTTTTGGCTGGCTGCGCCTGTAATGTCACGCGACAATTACGCGTGATTGACGCTATCATAAGCTGTACCGAGAATGATGCTGCCTGCAGACCACCCGCCCGCCGAATTATGTAATACACGCTGGGCATGACACTTGGGCAGCACCATAACTCGGACGAAACCGGGACACTTGTTGGTATATAATCATGCGGTGTATTTATGCAGCACTTGAACTCAATTGCTCGCCCGTCACAGCGCGCGTCGTGGCGGGCGATGCGCGGTATCTACCTCTCCACGAGCAGCGACGCCGAAGCCGCCATGCCAGCAGACTAACGCGAAACTCCTAACATTCTGATAGTGAGCGATGTTCGGTCAGTTAGCCCGCGGGCGGGGCCAGGTCGCGCTGCTGACCCCGGCGCCGCTGGCCGCCTCTGAGGTCGCTGTTGCCACGCGGGATTCGGACGATAAATCGCGCGGCGCGGGCGACCTCGCCTGGTGCCGCGCGCGCCCGCCGGTCCGGGAATAGCCGGCGACGCGGCCGGCCGCCGCCTGTCCGGCCAGGCGTCAGCCGCGAGGGCTCCAGCCCGCTGCCTGCCGCCTGTCCGGCCAGGCGTCAGCCGTGAGAGCTCCAGCCTGCTGCCTGCCGCCTGTCCGGCCAGGCGTCAGCCGCGAGAGCTCCAGCCCGCTGCCTGCCGCCTGCCGCCTGTCCGGCCAGGCGTCAGCCGCGAGGGCTCCAGCCCGCTGCCTGCCGCCTGTCCGGCCAGGCGTCAGCCGCGAGGGCTCCAGCCCGCTGCCTGCCGCCTGTTCGGCCCGTTACTAACGGCGAGAGCCCTGGGGCCACCGGCTGCCGGGCCCCGGCCTCTCAGTTGGCATCACTTGCCGGCATGCGGCCCAGCCTGAGTTTGAGCGTGTAGCTGTGCGCTCGTGTGTGAAGGTTAAGCTGTTAAAGAAGGCAAAGCTGCGGTGCTAGCAGGCTGAAACAGCGCGACTCGGCAGGTGGCCACCACGGCTGGGTCGGACAAAGGACCGGCTGACCGGACCGTCCTGGTCGGATCCAGACGGTCCGACCGTCCGCGGAGACAAGGTTACCGTCGTCGTTATTGGGGCTTTGTGTCGCACTCAGCTGCTGAGGCGATATGGCGTCGCCTGCCTCTCATCCTGGCGGGAAGGGCGGGTACCGCGGAAATCGAACCACGTACCTGTGGCTTCAAGACGCTCAGCTTAAGCTTTTTACTACCGGCACCCCGAGACAGTGTGACCAGGCCAGGACTGTCCGACTCGGGCGGACAGTCTAGCCGGACCAGGTATGTCCATCCCTGGGGAACAGTCTGACCGGACCGGGCCAGGGTGACACCAGGTCGCACTGTTCCGCCGGCCTGGACACCGCCGACGGAACAGACCACAGACCCCACCCTCCTATCCGCACCTGAGCGGCGCTGGTCAGACAACCACCACCCGCCTCACAGGTGTGCTCCGGTAAACCCGCCGAGTGACCTTCCTTTGATCTCATAAAGCGCCATGTGTGTGGAGAAGAAACCCCGGCTGTCCTCGCCAATGTACACACTTGACTCGCGTCCGAGTGCGCCACGGGGCGTGACTCAAACGTCTGCTCCCCGCACTGTCCTGTGCCGCGGGCTCTTTGTCGGCTTCTCCCGAGCATCACGTGGTCTGTGCAACAAGCTAGCTCGTCAGATAAGCGATCTAGCCACCGGCGGCTCCAAATGATCATCTCTTGCACTGGCAGAGTGCACTGGCGTTAGTAAGAAACGCTCATTCTCTGAACATGCGGCGGTGCCAGCGGTGCCAACAGCGTTGTCATTGCCCTGCAGCTAATGGCTCGCCGAAACAACAAACAACTGGACGGTGGACTCGAGTTGAACCGAATGCCAGACACTCTTTGGGACTATTCTCTGGAAGCGCGGCATTGTGTC